TGAGGCAAAAGGATGCAAAGCAATCTTCTAAGTAACAAAACAGTAAATATGAAAGATGAATGACATCTTATCAAAGCAGACCCTTCTATTTTCATTTGCTATTTGTCCCTTTAATATGGTGCACTGGATCTCTCTTAAGATTAATGGAGCTCCAATTACATGCCACTGTTGTTTCACTTACCATAATTCGTACACGACAGTGAAAGTTCCTTGTATTCATGACTTTCCCAGTTTACCCAGAGGGAATATCTTTGGAACTTCCTACTTCTAACAAACAGGCAGTACTTAGTCTAATGATCAAAGCTTGCCACACTCACTAAGTGAAAATGAACATATTCAATGAAAGAAAGCAGGCTATCAGCACTGAGGGATCAACTGACCCTCTTGTGCTTTAATATGATCAGTTAAAAACTGTAATTAGGAATACTAAAATTTCATCTTCTTCAGTGTCTTACAGCTGGGCTGGGTTGTGACTGGAACTCAGATACAGAGTCTGATACATACACAAAAACATTCTTCCTATTCCCGTTGTGCATGAATTTTACACTTTTGGTTCACGTGATTGAACTGGAAATGATGCATCAACATTGAATGGATCCCAGTGTTTTAAAACAGATTTCTTTCAAGGTTAAGAATTCATCAGTGCTTCTTGATTTGAATGTTCTGAATAACAACATTACTTGTTGTCGCATTATCCAATATATGATCGTTGGTGTAAAATCCACTTGATGTCTGATTACTCTTCATAAGAACCTCACGCTGATTCATTTCAAACCGTGAATTACCTTTAATTCATAACTTGAACACGCTGCCAAATTTTGTTTTCCATGCTCGCAGGTGGCTGTCCCTGACATAGTGGAGAACTTCCAAAAAGCCATTAGATACTTATGAAAAGCAGTTAGATGTCAAGAAGCACATTTCCATTTTCAAACAGGCTTCCATCAAGTACTATGATAAACTTTGGGATTAGAAAAGTAGTGGTATTTACTGAAAATTTTTTAGAACCATGAAGTGAAATCCTGGCTCAACTAAAACCAGTGGTGAGCCCCCTTTGAAAAGTCCTTGCTGAAATATCACGTAAAGAGTTTTAGCTGCTTGTTTTGTTTTTGAGCCTACTGTATTTAGCTGTTCTCTAGCCCCTCCACAGGTTGCGTATCAGTAAGTATGATGGATAACAAAAACTCTGTAAAGTAAGTTGATTTTGTCTTATCCACAAAAATTTGTTGCTGTAAGTTTTTAATGGTTTCCGGTAGTTCACTGAGCCCATGAGAAGGGCCTTTTAATACTGTATTAATACAGTAAGTATAGGAAGTAATTTTATGACAGGGGAAGAATACCATTATGATTACATTCTTCTTTTTAGCTAGGCTTTTATGGAAACTACTCAAGACTACACAGCAGTATGATTTCGAAACACAGGATGTGCTTGATTAAAAAGGTTCTGGGTAGTTTCCAACTGGACAGAGGCCAAATGCTAACAACCAAAACAGAACAAAAGGACTGCGTGTTTGAGGATGACATACTTGCAATGGTAATTATATAATAGAAACCTAAGTCACAAGCCCAGTTCATACTCTCAAATTCATGGAAGTTGACAGAAAATCCTTCTCAGTGCAATTAGTTGCACCTTATCTGTTCCTGCTTGCTATGCTCCATAATAAACTAATCAGAGTAGACTGGCTGAAAGCTGACCGCATAATACCCAGTGGAGACATACAGTGAATTTGAAATGTACAGAAAAGGAAGCCAAGTGCTGCAGTTTTACATAGCCTGATTTCAGCTATAACAATTCACCACTGTATACACAACTGTGTGCAAATCAGTGTTCAAAATTTTATTTTCCAAGTTTTTGAGTAGATATTAGGGTCTGAGGTTAGTTACATATGCAATATAAGTGCAGAATTTACACACAATGCCAATTACCTTATATTTTATCTGCTGCAAAGCACTGGGGATTTGGATTCCCCAGCATGTGGATTTAATAAAATACACTGGAATAGTATAAAAAGCTTGAAATTTGTGTTTCAGAAAGCTTTACTTAGACAAGAAGTTACGCATCTTGAATCCCCCTACAACATCAAGACGCTGGTCCATTAATCTACCTTACAGTATGTTGCCTTCATTCTGCCCCCTAAAAGTATGCAGCTGAAAGCTTATCTTGCAAAGACCATACATCCCCTTGGCATGATTCTTCCATGATGCCAATATTTCTATACCTGACTTCTGTAGCGACATACAGGCAGCTTAGCTGCCTATATCCTTATGCTCTGGAGCAGAACATAGCATCATGAAGGTAAAAAATCTTTCTTCTCCGTGCATTGCTGTGCATGCATGCATGTCACGGTATAACTCAGTGACATGGTAAATGAAAGTAAGTTACTGCCAATTCCTATGGATTTCTAACAAAGCTAATGGAATCTGTAAGACTGTCCTTAGGACTGATGTAAATGGAAAACATAAGTTTCACTCGAATTGCACATAAACTTATAGAAGTTGGGAAATATATGTAAGTATGTCCAGGTTGAAAGCATACAGAAGAACAAACCCAAATTCAGTCAGATTTGATCAACCTGAAATACAGGTAACAGATCCCATTGACAAAATATATAAGGAAATGGTAGGCAATACAGTTTTGAAGTTGGTAAGATCATGCTGTGTGCTTGATAGTGCAGCAACAAATGTCGCTGGGTATAAGATGGACTGCAATTTCACTCATATACTCCAATATTCATGAAACCGACCAATGTTAGAAAGATTAAATCCTTCTTAACGCAAGTGCAATCTGATAAATACTATATTATTAAAATACACAATGACTGCAGGAGCTGTCAATCTACCAGGGTTTATTTGTACTGCACTATCCAGCTCTACTTGATACCATTAGATCTTTGTGCCCCACTCTCTGCTTTAATTTCATTATGTCCTGCAGTACTGTAATTCCCAGTGAAGGTGGTGGTGACTGCACACACAGATCTAAAGAAACAAATTGGCCTTGTAATACCAAGTCTCACAGTGGACTGCCTTCTAACCTCCCAAAGCCCTATGGAAATTCTTAGAAGCTGCCTTAACAATTTTTCTGCAGTAAAAGAGAAAAAGTGATAGTAATGGGTTAGCTGATCTTCATTTGGAAGCTAAAAATAAAAGTAGCTTTATTGCAGCTCTGATCTCTCATGTGTAAAATCTATCACCTACCATAAGAAGGCAGTTCATTGCAGCAGAAATCTGATTGATAGTACTGGAACTTTAGATCAAGCAGCAGAACAGAGAGCAACTGGTTCATAAAATGTACTCAGTGTCTTCAGGTTTTATATCAGGCTTCCTATAGAGAGCTTTGGTCCCATTAAATGCACTATATACCACTGAGCTCTGAAGCACTGTTCTTTTGAAATTCAGCTTATAACTATAAACCATGATTGACATGTCTATTACTGTTGGTTACAAACTATTGAAATATTGTATTTTATGGTATACACACTAAAATATTTTTCACAGCGGAATCCAAACACACTTACTTCAGGAGAAAAATAATTTTAAGATGCAATAATTTTATTTTATTTTTTTTTTACTTTTTTTATACTATGGAATGTGCTTGATGTTAGGTTTGGATCGCTTAGATGTGCTGAAACACGAATGCACCCATTCTGTTACCAAGAACAGTGGGTATAGTTGGCTGGATTCTTTAAAAAACAAAAGCCACTACTGGAAATCAAATGGCAAAGGACAAAATCTAATTTGTTACTAAGTTTCACAAATAAAATGCTGTTCATGCATTCCCAGCCAATTCTCATTTAATCTCAACAAAGTAACATTTCACTTTAAAATCAAATTGTTTGTTTAACCATAATTTTGTAAAGCTTTACCCAACAAACTTTAACTGAATGAGCACTTGCAAGACTTCAGTTTATGAGTAAAGAACTGGACCTTCAAAACCTGGTGAGCACATCAATGGATTTGGCACCTAGATCTAGTCTAGTCCTGTATTTCTTTTACGGTTATAACAGACAAATCACTTAACTCCAACAAGACCTTTCCTATACATAAACTTGCACAAAGAATCAACATATTTACATTAATTTTAAAAACCTATGTAGGTATCTCTGCATTGATTTCACTTCCTGTACAGTGATTTACTTAAATTGCATCTTTAGTAAATTGAGGGGAACTCCTAGAATAATTTTGAAGTAATTTTAAATGAACATATTGTATTTATACAAATGTCAGTTAAGCTAGTGCAGTTCTGTATTCAGTAAAGTGCTTGAACACTAAAAAAAAAAGGCAGCTCTGAACTGAAATCAGACCCACACATTTTCATAACCATAAAACCAACAACCTACGTTTCAAAGTTATTATTTAATTCTTTTTTGTAAATTACTTTGAGATCCTGGGGTAAAAGGAAAAAAACAAAAAAACAGTTCAGTCTCAACTCACTGCTACATTATTGCAGCCTTAGCACCAAATAAAAATGGTTTAACACAATGGAGAATTAGCTCTCACAATTTCCAACTGTCGTATTTATAGATCATCTGTGATTTTCAGCTGTTTCAAAGTGTATGAAACTGAAGACCAGCTTTTCAACACCAGCTAGTAGAATCAGTCTGTATGATGTGTTTTACTCTCTCTCTCACTGTATGAATGTTAAAATTCCTGCATCATCTGTTCATTGGGTTGCATTTTCTATTGTAAGAGGCTTAGTATCTGATGAGAGAAGCATAAAAGTGATTAAATTTTGGCAAGCTCTACAACTAAAATCAGAATTATTTCTGCTTAATAAACTCATTTTTCAAACATACCTCTGTTAGCTAATGCTTAAAAAGAAGAAACAGTAATAAGCACTGAAAACATAAAACTCGTTTATGGCTAATTTTTAGGCACTACTGAGAACACCTGAATACCAGGACAAGATTATGAACAGAGCTAGATTTTAGGTACCTTTGGAGAAATAAGCTCAATCTTTATGATAAATTTAAATGAGATTTAAAGCTGGAAATAATAATACTTACGACTTTTGTGGCACTGACTTAGTTGCAACTTTCCCTGCTGGATCACTCCACTCTGCAAACAAAGGAAACACATTTTCAAATGTCAAAAGATTACTGTAGAATTAAAATGCACCCAAAGCTGTCAGCCCATCTAATTATACTTGGTTTCACAACATGCCACAATGCATAACATGTAATAAAAAATTGAACTGATCTGCTTTAGCACCATAAAAATTAATTTTTTTGCCTTTATTTTAATCATGTTAAGCAGGGAAAAAGAAAAATAAAATACCCAACCCTGACTGTCAAGACTAAGATGATAAGAACCTACTTTGTACATTGTATCCTGAGGTCAGATGTTGGGAGTCCTACAAAGAAGAACACACAAAATGTCAGCATTAATTAAATAAGAGGAAGAAGGTAAGATATATCTTGGCTTGCTAGATTAAGAGCATGGCATTACACAAACAGGGAAGGAGTGGGACAGGGAAGGGATCATGCGATTGTTAAGGCAGCCCCAGTGACAACATTAACTGTGGAAACAGAGCAGCACTGAGGGACCCTTTCCCAGTTCAGACAAGGGCTTGTTTGCAGCAGCTGTAAATGTGCATGCCCCCTTCATGGAGACACTGCACAGATTTATACCCACAGTGGTCCCAGCCATTCAGGGTTTGGTCATGAACGTGGTCATGAGCCATCCATGATGTACAATTCAGACTGCAGCATGAATGCAACTATGCATTTGATTCAGCACCACTGCCTTTCTTTCTGATCTCACTACTTGGAAATACAGTAACCTTTCACTGACAGTCACTGCTTTTATTTGGACTGTGACACAGGATTTGATAAAGACCCAGGAAACAGATCTTCACCTGATGGATACTGGTCCAAATCCAATGAAATCAATGAAAGTACAACAACTTTAAACAGGCAAAGAATCTGGCTTGTAACACTGAGCATACTAATTCCAAGATTCCTGTTGGCTCACAGCAACTAAGCTGCTTCCTTAATAACACGGTGTTTTCTGGCTTATTTTTTCTCTAGGCTTTATAGTGCGCAGTGATTGTAATCAGCTTTCCTTCCAAGCAGAGTTTGATCATTTGAAATTAAAGTGTTATTTACAACCTCATCTTACAGCCAGGCACTACTTTGCTGGAAGTGTTAGTTCTGTAGGATGTTAAAGTCATTAAAGCCCTCACTGCACTTCCTCTCAGGGCATTATTAGTTCCTAATATTATACTGCGCTGTCAGTCAGTCCATTGTGAAGTAAATCATGCCCTAAGAGTAAACATGGCAATTTCAATTTGAATGTCAAAGGGACAAATTGTTCTGATAAGTTCCACCTTTTTATCACACTTTTTTATATATGTTTCTATTTTTTATAATAGTTGAGATAATAATTGAGAACTTCTAATAGTGTCCATCTCTGGTTTATATAGCTGCACAATCTAGCTACATCTAAGATCTATGATTTGGCTAGGTATAACTGAGTTAATGTGATGTTCTGAAGAGATATTTCTGTTGTATTTTTTGAAGTAAAACTAGCAAACTTGGAAACATTTATATGCTTGCCTGTTTCCTGAAATGCGAGCTCAAAAAAAAGAAATCTAATTTATATTTTGCATTGAAGTGACATGGTAAAGAATTTCAGGATCAACATTTAACGTGCCCAGAAATTAACTTTGATGTGGATCTTAAGAGTTCAAAGCAAACTTAATAGAAAGAGAAAATTAACCCAAAATTTTAGCTTCTCTGAACCTACACTTATTCTGCTGCCAGTGGGGATAGTGAGAGGCTGCAGGACTTCGACCAGTTTCTGTAGGGCCCACCAAAACCAGAATACTAAGTGGTGTATATCAAAAAATTTAACAGCTTCCAGTGGGCAAACCCCTCCACGCTCACTGTATGCACACAGCTCAGATTCCACTTTCCTCTAGATGGGTTCAACTGACTTTGATCCAGTTTGCAATGAGGATTATACTCCTGCATGATTATGACTTCTGCTGCTTAAGGCTGCAGCAGTTAACTGCAGCAATGATGGCAGTGCTAGAGCAGTGACAATCACTCTCCACTAAAACAAGGCATTCTGGGCACTGGCTTTGGTTTTTTTAAGGAGCCACAAATACTGGTAATTTCATATGATTTTCAATTAAGTATAGTGGCTGCATTTCAGGCAGTGGAATATCTGCCTAACAGATAAAATCAGTAAGAGGAAAATCACATTCCAGTTTCTAAAACACAGTATGTTTACTTGAACCATAATGTCAAGTAGTACCAGCTTTATAAGCTATTTTCCAAGGGTCTGCCTCTAGAAAGAAACTTGACATAGCTCCACATCAGACTGTGGTAGATTCCCCACCATGGGGAAGTCTCCCCTTCCCCAAACATCAGCAGCGTGTAGTTGTTTGGTTCCCAGCAAGATACCTCTGGCAGTAACTAGGTACGGGCTTGAACTGTAACAGTGCCACCAGAATCATAGCTAGAAGGCAACAATGGAATTTAGGCTAAAAGCATGTTCAAATCATACAACTAAATGATTCACTGCGTGCTAGGTGAACTGCAGGTACTCTCCAGGCTTGTTTGTGCTTATGACAAGGGAAATGTCAAGTGTGTGCTTTTAACAAGGCCAACACTGAGGAGTGCATTGCACAACTTGGTGTGCCTTTGGAGCATGCACACAGATGCCACAGCACTGTTCACATGCAGGAACATTTTAAGTCACTGTAATTTGATGGTACAGCCTAAACCTCATCATGCACTCAATAACTAAGTAGGAAAAATCACCATTTCAGCCACTGCATTGCACAAATAATGATGGAAAAAGCCAAGCAAATTAAATATATTGCACTTGATGTAGAAAGGCTCTGTAACAACAGGAATAAAGTTCACTTTGCCTCCACTGCAACTCATCAGCTTTAAATAAGCTGTCCTACTAGTAACAACGATCTGATTGGGAATTTCCAACTAAAAATAGTCTTAAGAAATTTTTGAAAATGGAACCAATTACAAAAATAAACTTGCCAGTGAAGAACACTCCACAGCACAGAATGTTAATTGGGTCACTGGTTAACCTACTTGTACCTTGCTTGGGATAGAAAACTTGGTCTGCTCAGCCTTGCCAGGAGTGTGAACAGCAGTAAGAGGAGGAGGCCAGGAATGGGTCATCTCCTAGGGAAGAAACAAATCATGTTTTTGAAAACAATTCAAATACATAAAGAAGAAAAAGAGGAAAAAAAATAAGTATTCTCCACTGGGCATCAAGATGCTATTGCTTAAGGAAGCATCACCACCCATCCTTATCTGGCAGCATTTGACTACCCACCAGGCAGCATTTCCTGGGAACATGGTGAGGATGGGATTTACTCTTCAAAATCATGGCCATCCGTGTCTTCATTAGGTGGCAGCTGGCTCCACCTCTGTGGTCAGCCTGTCAAGCTGCATGAACGAAGCCAACAGGCACAGAATAGGGTTTTTACCTGCAAAAGCCAACCAGAAAAGGCTTCTCCTCCTGCACTGCACTGGATGCAACTCTACATAGGATTGCATGGTGGCAAAATGCAACCTTATTCGATATCGCATAGTGGCAAAATAAATCAGAAGCAAGTCCAGAAAAAGATGGATTTTTTGCAGCTTGAATGCCTGGTGTAGAAGAGAGTGGTTAAGTGTCCTGGCCTCCAAAGCATCTTTTCATAGCACTGGGCATAGGCACTGTGGTTAGCAGTGTCACAGCATCAAAACACTACTGATTCCATTCTAAAATGAGGGATGGAGAAATAAGGTGATTTGCAAGAGAGTTCCACGAAAGCCCATACTTAACTAGGAAATTCAGGTCTCTGGTGAAGACCTGCCTACCAAACCACCTAAGCAACACACCTGTTTTCTTTACAGCGGGTTAATTCATCATCTATACACTCATGTTCCAATGATCTTCAAAGAAACCCCCTGGGTGCCCATGGCCAGGAAAACAAGCAGAAGTGGCAATGCATGCCCAGCTTTTTCATACCGAGTGCTAGAACCACCACCCCACTGAGCTTGGTGGGAGCATACTGGGGCTTAAGTTCAGACCAGGGGGGAAAGTCAATAAAATAGAGAAACTGCAAAAGTGTTGTTTTAGGCAGAGCTTGTAAATGCCCTTCTAATGAGTATGTTTTATGGTAGATGCTGCTCTATTCTCTCTTATCTTTGTTTTTAATTTAATAAATAGTCAGAGAGGCAGTAATACTTGTCTCTGGCAATCTGTTGTATCTTTGTCTTGGTTGTTTTTCTTTGCCTACAAAGCTCAGAAAGGATTCTTTCTTGAGACAAGGGACACAAAGAGCAAAAGAGGGTCTGACCTAGCATATTTTGCATGGAATGGCCGTAATCCTGACTGGAGTAATCTAAACTTCCCAGCTGCTATTTCTCACTGGTGAAACCAAGGCCAGTTACAACAAAGCTTACAAGCACACAAGTTTCTGTAAGTAACATGACAACCACTGCAAATCCTCCCCAAATAAAAATGTATCATAATATAATAAAGAAAACGTAACTGTTGTCAAAAGGGCAGTGTGGTAGGTGCATCTGGACTAAAGACATGTCCTGGGTGGCTACAGCTGGATCCTAATGTATAATTCACTGAAGATATAGCTAGCAAGTTTCAGGTCTCCAATTGTCCCTCACAAATTATGTGTCATACGTGAGGTTAGGAAAGAGAAAGGAAACCCATGCACCATGGTCCTCAATCAGCAGGACAGATGGGACATGTAAACTTCCCTCAAGCTCCTCTTCGCCACTGGTATTTTACTGAAGCTCACTGAATTTCCACCCTTAGCAATGCTGCTACTGCAGCAATATCATGTGAGCCCCGCAAAGGACAGAGTTCAGGAATGATCACTATGGAGAGAAGCCCTCACCTTGTCCTGGTGGAGGCTGGCACCTCAGCTCCAACCGGACTCTGCTGCTCTGCTTCCACCAACACAGCACACCACACCACAGACACACTTACAGTGAATCATAGAATGGTTTGGGTGAAAGGGTCCTTAAAGCTCATTCAGTTTCAACCCCCTGCCATGGGCAGGGACACCTTCCACTAGAGCAGGTTGCTCCAAGCTCCGTCCAACCTCGCTTTGAACACTGCCAGGGATGGGGCAGCCACAGCTTCTCTGGGCACCCTCTGCCAGCGCCTCAGCACTCTCACAGGGAAGAGCTTCTGCCTAATATCTAATCTAAATGTCTCTGTCAGTTTAAAACCATTCCCTCTATCCTATCACAACATGCCCTTGTCAAACCCCCCTCTCTGGATTTCTTGTCATCCCCTTTAGGCAGTGTAGTGCTCTAAGGTCTCCCCTGAGTGTTCTCCAGGCTGAACAAGCCCAGCTCTCTCAGCCTGGCTCCACAGGCAAGATGCTCCAGCCCCTGAAGCATCTTCATGGCCTCCTCTGGACTCGCTCCAACAGGTCCATGTGCTACTTGTGTTAGGGGTCCCAGATCCAGATGTAGGACTGCAGAAAGGTCTCACAAGAGCGGAACAGAGGGGAAGAATCCCCTCCCTTGACCTGCTGGTCACGATCCTTTTGATACAACCCAGGATTTGTTTTTGGAAAGCCAAAGGTGCGCTTCCCAGGCTGCAGGTGCACACTGACCAGTCATGTTGAACTTCTCATTGACCAACACCCCAAGTCTTTCTCCTCGGGGCTGCTCTCAATCCATTCTCCACCCAGTCTGTGTTTATGTTTGAGATTGCCCTGACCCAAAAGGCCACACAGCTACAACAATGTGGCCTAGGGCCAAGTTTTGCCAGTTCCTTGTACAGATGACCCAGGGAGGGGAGGGTGCAAATGTGTCTGCATTCCTGAAAGCCTTTGGGTTTCTGCCTGTGGAGCTCAGGGCCTGTTTACATTGCACAAAGCCCAAACAGTGGCAGTGAGGACAAAGAGGCAACTCATGAACAGCTCATCCCTCCTGGTGGGTGAGGCTGCAGCAGCTCAGTGCAATGATGAGAAGTATGCTGTTATATTGCATTGATTGATTGTGCTCTGCACAGAGGAAGGCAGAAAAAGATTTAAGCATCCAATTAACTTTTCTGTGAGATAATATAATCCAAATCCTACACGACTCCTATGGAACAGAGGTTGCTTTGTGGCAAATTTTGTCATCAAAAAACAATGGAAGAGACCATATCACACAATTAAAAGAGGGACAGGCAGCCTGATTGAAGGCAGAAATAAAGCTTATTCTAGAACTGCAATTATAGGTTTGACCTCAGTCTCTTCCTGCCCATGCATAAAAGGATGGACAGAGAGCCTACAATTCATGGCAAGGTGATGCCAGCAAATAATTCAGAATATTCACTGTCAACATGCATCTAATGTCCACTGGGTGCCAACTTGGTGTGCTGAAGTGTAAGCAAATCCAGTCATCTCCCTGTTCATGAACACCTGAACATAAAACAGCAGGAAAAGGAAAAAATGAGTCTGCTGTTATCTGAGGAAATTCAATTATAAGGTAAGAAATCCTGACTCCATTGAGGTCAGAGGTAAAAGTCAACTTCAGTGAGGTCAGAACTACCCAATTCATGCGTTTACAGAGTGACCTCATGAGCACCAAAACGTATTATAAATGTACAACACAGCTATATTGAATTATTTCACTGTAACTATCACTGTAATAAAAATTATTGCATGGAAAACTCCAAATAGGATCACAGATACTAAAAACTTAAGTATTTAAAGCTTGGCATGGAAACAAGCACTGTACATGGAAGTGTTGAGGAACTATATAGTTACTTAAAGAAACACACCTACAACTACCTAGATAGGTGCTACAGCACTGCTGACCAAAGAATATGAGTGATTGTAGTGAAAGTTTTGAGTTTACTCATCTGAAAAATGTCACTTCGAAATGCAGGGCCAGCAATGAACCAACCACCACAGAGCTGGGCATGATACTCATGCAGAGCACTCCCGAGCTACAGAATGACACGAAGAAATGGCACTGCACTGTTTTCAGTGAAGGGTCAAAGCCCCAGACCCACATCCTGCAGAGATGTGACCATCTGCTTAACTCTCTCCCACTCTGTTCCTTAAGCACATGCACATTACTCTGGAGAATCAGAAGAAAGCATGTCATTTTTTCAATCATCCACATGACTTCACCATTCTTTGCTATGCCCTGATTTCTTTTGGAGGTACCTCATCTTTAAGTACTTGTTAAGCTCTATATTGTTTAGCTTGTGAAATCTGATATACCTACCTTCTAATATGTTATTACTATAAAGAACCACACAGACACTCTGTTTTGTGTATGCATCTATTTAGATGTATATAGAAACATCTCGGTTTGTAAAAATCTGGGAAAGTAAGCAGAGAATTGCATTGTTTCTTTTCTTTTCTTTTCTTTTTTTTTTTTTTTTTTCCAGGAAAACTTAAGAAACTTTAATCAATCCAAACTTTGAAGAACTTAGAAATTCCTGGAAGCAACAATAATAAAACTGAGCATATGAAATGTTTTAAAGAGGAATTTAATGGAAACAAAGTAATCCCACAAAATCAAGTTAGGATTTATTTTCACATGGTTTGGACTTAAAATAATTCCAAAATCATGTTAACTGTTGGAGTGGGTAGATGACTGCTATGGAAGCATGCAATTTTTTATAGACCTGGAGATTAAATGAGAAAGTAAACCTGTTTTTTTGGCTTAAAAGTCACTGTGGTCCTCTGATGTAGTAACATCAAGCATCTTCCTTCTGAAAATTATTTAAACATTGTTTTAATTGACTCCATGTGCTTTATTTATTAAAGCTAGGCACGCTCTTCTCTTTAGCTAAGTATGCTTTTTTCAGCTATAAAAGCCCTCAGGTATGTAACTAAGAGAGGACACATGCAGATGTGATCTAATGAATCACCCAAAATACAAATACTCCAAGAAAACCTTTTAAGGGCTGCAGAGGTACAAGGCCAAATCATGATTTAAATGGAAGGAGAGGACTGGGGAAGGATTTAAACTTGCAAACTTCTAAGGAAAAGGTCAGAATGAGAGAACTGAGTACAGGGGATATGGGGCAGATTGTAAATAGCCTTACAAAACCAGTCCCTAAATTTAACAGCCACCTTCGACAGTTATTTTCTTCATTATTTTCATTTTTCCTCATTTCTTTCTTGCTCAAAAGAAAGTGTGCAGTGTTTTAAAAT